GTAGTGAGTCTCAACTTACACTGTGTTTTCTCATGTATTCAACGTTCTCTTTTAAGTTGGCTATCATGAGGGGCATTCCTGTAGTTCTTGAGCTCTTAATGATATTAAACCTGCTATAAATTTCCATCCCAGTTTATAACCCCCAGACTGTACTAGGCAAGATTAGTGGTTATTAAAAATACCACCAGGACAGGGTTACCTAAAGACATATTTGGTAATTTGTTAATTGTACAGAAATATTACATTGTATGGTTTAAAAACAAATCTTTAAAAAATATTTATTTATATGTGTTTTGCCTGCATTTATGTCTGTGTACTACCTACATGTGCCTGGTGCCCTCAGAGTCTAGAAGAGAGAGTGAGATTCCTCTGGAGTTACAGATGGTTGTGAACCACCATGTGGGTGCTAGGAATTGAACCTGGGTCCTCTCGAAGAGCAACCAGTGCTCTTCACCACTGAGCCACCTCTCTAACTCTAAAAACTAATCTTACACAGCCTTATATTTCAGTTTTTATTTCAAAGGGATGAGTTGTGTACAGGGGGTTAAATGCTTTGTAGACAAGAAAAAAACTGTTAGAATTCACCTACTCATCATCATCCTCTTCCTCCTCCTCATCTTTCTCTTTCTTGATCTTTTCTGCCTTGATGATGTCAAGGAGACACTGTCTTGCAGTGCTCTTCTCCATCCTTGGGCTTTTACATTCTTCTGACATCTTCTCTGTGGTGTCTGAGCCTTGGAGTGAGTGGTACAGATTTTAGGACTAAGCAGCCAGTAGTCACCTATTGTCAGGACTTTGGCCCACTGCAAAAAGAAGCTTCTCTGATGAAGACAGAACAGCACTAGTCTATGAGTATAAACCTAAGTGTTTAAAAGACATCTTAACAACATGTTCATTTAGCAAAAAGAACAGTAGTAGGCTCCCTTTTAGGGGCCATGACCTTTAGCAATGGTTTCTTAACCAAGGTTACAGTACCCGGTATGAATTCTGCGGAGCAGGTCTCAAATCCAATCAGGAAACAGTTGGTTATGTCTTGCCTGGCAAGTTGTTATTGTAATTTATGAGGCCCACAGCGAGGCAAGATTGTTCATGACTTCCCTAGGAGCCTTCATAGCACCTTTTGGCACTGTGAAAGCTAGTCAACAGGGAGAATGCTTTGTACCTAGTCCCATCTTGGTGTCTTCAGCAATTGGGTCTTACCATGTTGTCTGCTGGGCAGCCAAGAGTAGTGATAATAACTTGTATTATTTTGGGGGCCTTTAGGGCCTCACTGCTTATAGTAGGTATCCTACAGTTGGCATTGGGATTTTTATATAATCTGTGGCTTCTGGGAAGACCATTATCTACCCCGCCAGACAGGGTTTCTCTGTATAGCCTTGGTTGTCTTGGAACTCACTCTAGAGCAGGCTGGCTTCGAACTCACAGATCCTCCTGCCTCTGCCTCCCGAGTGCTGGGATTAAAGGCATGCGCCACCACTGCCCGGCTCCTTTAAACTTTTAAAAAACAAACTATATTTTTAAATAACTTATAAAGTAGCTTCCAATCGGGAATTTTCCTAAGTCTTAGTTTGGGCTAACACTTCCCTTTAGCCTGTCTTCTGCCTGCCTTCCATCCTGCTCTAGCTTAAACCCCAGGCTTCTCCCCTCGACTCCCATATCCCTTGTGCCCTACTGTCCCACCTCCTTCTCTCTGATGTCCCCTTTCCAGCTTTCTGTCCTCTGCAGGCACCCCAGTTAAACATGCTGGTGTAAGATTTGAAGCTAGAATCTGCACACAAGAGAGAACATCTGGTCTTTGTCAGGCATTTCTTCGTCTCCCTGCCCAAAATAGCTCTGAGCCCCAATTTGATCATATCTCATTCCATGAGATTATCTCTCTCTTTCCCACAGTACTTCTCTATCTGTCAGCAACCCCATACAGTGTGAGTTAGTAGAAGGATGAACTCTGGTACTATCACTGCTGTACTATTCAAAGGAGAAAGTTGCTGAGAATGTTCCTGGCCAAAGAAAACCATCCAAAAAGTACAATTGGAACCCGGCCTCAGAAGATAATAAGTTCACTGTGTACAGAGGAAGAGAATTTGAAGGAGGTTGTTAGAGGGGGATATGGAAAAAAGCAGTCCTGTAGAAGGAGGTTAGGTTGCCTTTGTCTGCTACATTTTCCCCTCCTAGAGACAGGATCTTGCTATGTAGCCCATGCTGGCCTCCAACTCATGATTCTCCTGCCTCAGCCTCCTGAGTGCTAAGTTCACAGGCCTGTGTCACCACACCCAGCTTTTTTTTCCTCTTTGACTCAACAAGTGACTCATTATTTGGAATTTACTATTCATGAACATACTACTACTACATTATATGGCATACTATTTGAAATGGTAGTTGCCCAGGGACTATGTTGAGATTGTCCCCTAAGAATTATGGTTTGCGGAGAATACTATCAACAAAAGTAGACACAGGAAAAGGAGACAAAGTAATGGACTTTGTGTTATTTGCCTGTGGCGTTTCCTTGTTTTCAGTGTTTGTTTTGTTTATTATTTGGGGAAGGGAATGCTTGTGCAATGGCATTCAAGTGAGTGGAGGTCAGAGGTCAGCCTGTGGGAGTGGCTTTCTCCTTCCAGCATGTGGTCTGGGGAGTGAACTTAGGTCATCAGGCTTGCCAGCAGGTGCCCTTATCTGCTGGGCTTTCTCACAAGTCCTTTCCTGTGACTTATTAGTCTGTGTTAGGAATATTGTGGAGGCTGTTTTGTTTCTGTATTGAGATCATGAGCAGGCTATTAACGTATTCAGCCGTTTAAGGTGAATTAGTGGTAGGACATAGTTTACATTACATGCTCTGATTAAATGGACAAAACGGTTATAATTGGCAACACCCTTGACTCCTTCACAGACAGTATTTATAGAATTATTAAAAATGTCTTCCAGGAACCTGGGAGACGCTTACAAATGGAGCACATGTTACATAGTATCCCAATTTCATAAAATATTCACAAGTATGTATAAAAAATAAACCTATTACTAATGGTTAATTAGTGGTTAATTACTAATGGGTAATTAAATGTTTTTTCAAATTTTTCTAAAAGGAAGGTGTATGTGAGGGGGCACAGTAAAGAATCACTGAAATGGCCACTTGGTAAGGTTAAGGGGAAGGTTCTTACTGTGAATAAGAGAAAAAGAAAGAAAGAAGACTGGTTATGACCAGGAATGGGGGAGGGGGAGAAATTGACAGAGACAGAGTGTGAGAGACCATAACGAGAGTTAGGGAATGGGGGGGAGAGAGGAAGATGAGTAGCTGGGAGGAAGGAAGGGCCAGGAGGCTGGTGTGGACTTGGAACTGTGAAACAAGCACCCCGAGTGGGGACGGAGGGAGCCCGAAGGCTGGTGGGCTCTGCCGCCATGTCCCTTCTGCCAGAAGCAAGAGAAACGACTCCTTTGGCAGACTGGAACCAATCTCACAAGTTCCTGCGGAGTGCTGCTGCCAGTAATCCTCTGTAGTCCAGCTTAAGCTCATTTCTAGATCTGTGGACATCCTGAGGCTTGACAGATGGTAACACTAATGATAAGGAAAATTTTTAATACATGAGAGGAAAAAATGCACGTGCTGGCTTCAGTCGGGTTTAGTTCGGCAAAGGAAAGAAAGGGGTGTGTTGGAGGAGATGGTCTGGTGAAGCGTCCTCTAATACGTGTCAAGGTTAAAGGCTAACTTGGAAATAATTGTTTTCTCAGCAGGTTTTCAGTGAAAGTGATGGTTTTTGTGTGGGGAGTATATAAAAAAAACAGAAGTGTAGCCCGGCTGTGGTGGCACACGCCTTTAATTTCAGCACTGGGGAGGCAGAGGCAGGAGAATCTCTTGAGTTTGAGCCCAGCCTGGTCTACAGAGTGAGTTCCACATCAGCCAGGACTACAAAGAGAAACCCTGTCTCAGAAAAACAACAACAACAACAATAATAATAATAATAAAGAGGAGCCGGGCAGTGGTGGCGCACGCCTTTAATCCCAGCACTCGGGAGGCAGAGCCAGGCGGATCTCTGTGAGTTCGAGGCCAGTCTGGGCTACAGAGTGAGTTCCAGGAAAGGCACAAAGATATAGAGAAACCTTATCTCAAAAAAACAAAAAGAAAGAAAAAAAAAGAGAAGTGTATACTGTTAGAAACTCAGTCCCATTTTCTGTTCACTGAAGACAGCCTGGCTCCTTTCGTGAGGTGTGAGAAGTGCCGTCTCACAGTGGGGCTGGTCTGTGCTGTGCAGGGCACCCAGAGCTCTCTCTTCGTTTCTCTTATGGGGCATGGTAAGTTCCTGGGGATGAAACTCAGGGCCTCTCAGGAGGTAGGCAAGCGCTCTACTACTGAGCAGCATCCCCAGCCACTCAGCAATAATAAATCACTTTTGGTATTATTTTTCTTTGGATTGGGTTTTTGTGGGTTGGGGACCTTTTCCTGGAAAGTAGAGCCTTGAAAAATGTGAACCAGGGTTACTAAAGAAAAGCTAAAACTAATTCTTACTTGTTCAGTGAATTAAAGAAAATTTGCTTTGTTTTTAATCACAAAAGTATTTCCAGCCATAGTTTAGGAAGTCAGAGAACTTCGGGGTGAGGCTGGCAGTGTGCTGCTTCCCGTCTGTGAGCTGCCTGGTTCTGCCCATGCAGGACTGGAGCAGTGGCACTCCTGGTTGTGGAGAGAGAGCCTGTGGTGTGCAGCTCGGAGAACCCCTTTGGCTGTGTGCTGGAATTGGAAGACACGGTTTGCTGGGTATCATTCCAGACAGTGGGCTTCACTGTTGCGCCATGAAGCTAGACTCAGCCCTCTGTTAGAATGACTATTCCCTATCCTACCCAGTAGCCTTGTGATAAAGACGCTTCGATTGTGCTCTGTTTGGCTTGTTTTCCTCATATATGAAAGAGTTGTAAAAAATCCAAGACTTTTTTTCTTTTTGCTTAAATATTTAATTTTCATCACTGAACACTTCATTGAGATTACATTCTTCTTTTTTTATTTTAAATATATATAGGAATTACTCAAGGTGATGAGGACAATTGATGACAGAATAGTACATGAATTAAACACTACGGTTCCAACAGCTTCCTTTGCAGGGAAAATTGATGCCAGCCAAACCTGTAAACAACTTTATGAGTCTGTAAGTGTATCTTTTGAGTTTCTCTTTTGTGGTTCTTTGATATCTTTCTTTGCAGACAAAAGAAGAAGTTAATTGACTTGTATCTGAACTGTGAAGAGCTCATGTCATCTTTAAGTTTCCTTGTGGACACTTGAAGGTTTCTACAGCCCCAGACAGTGTGTGGCATAGGCACAAATCTGAAGAAATGGTTGGAAAGAGTAGGAGCAGAGTTGTTTTGGCCTATGCATGCATGGCCTTTTGCTTAAATAGACAGTATTTATAACCATAAGGACCTTGAAACAGTCAAGACAGGAGTGAGAGAGAGAGGACTTGAATGAATGAATACCAAGAGTCCAGGCAGCTAATGGCAGGAAGAGTGAAAAGCCTTCACATTTTTTATGTCAGGAATGGAAGCATGTGGCAGAAAGGGCTGAGAAAGCCACAGATACTAGTAAATCCCCCTTCCAGATGTGTTGACGCCTCCGGGGTGGGGTTGCTCAGTACCTGCTTGAGTCCTCTTTGGAATTTGCAAAAGCAAAAGGAAATGGTGGCACAGCTCTACTGTGGCTTGCTGCTGCCCTCCATTAAGTTGGAAGTTAAGTTCAAATAGCTCATGCCTTTTTATGTTCTCACCCACAAGTTTACTGTGTGGATTTCTAGTTAGAGGAAAGCCATTATTTAAATCCCCAGTACAGTTTTCAGGTGTGGAAAAAAGTCATTTTGTGGACAAACTTATTTATATGAATTAAATTTAGAACACTACCTACTGGCATCTAGGTTGTGTTGTTGTGGTTTTTTTTTTTTAAGTATGTCATTCTGTTGAGCAGTCAGGTAAATACTGTGGTTTTAGGAAATTGGATGATGTGTGGTTAATAAAGATTTAGTCACTGAGTGAGGGTGGGTCCAAGTCCTAACGAACCATGAGATGTTTGACAGTTCCCTTATGTCTTGGTGTCTGACTAAAGAAGTGATCAATATGTGATCAATTTAGGATGCTCTCCTCCTTCCTGCTACCTGTATGATCCCTACTGTTCAGTTCTTCCCATTTACAGTCTTCTGTTAGCAAACTGATTGGTAGTATCATGCTTAGCAACATGAATTCTAGGACTAGATCAAATCTCACATCTGCTGCTTCCTAGGGTGGTGACTGAACATTTTGAATGACTTCCTTTTGCCTTAGTTTCATAGAGTTGTAGAAGATTAGTGAACCAAGAAAGCGCTGGTCTATGTATTTTAATATGCTTGCCAAAGTCATTATTATTGGTCATTATTTGATTTTAAATCATGCTGCTCTGGAGATGGAGGCCTGCAGAGCGCCCAGCCAGTAAGAGTCACTAAGAGCTTTTGTTGAGTGTTGTCTCCTTCGAGGAGTCTGGAACATCCAAGTTGCTGCTCGCAGTCTCCCTGACTTACGTTAGCTCCTGGTCCAGCTTTTGTGACTGAAGAAAACATTTGCGTTCCCTAATGGTGACCCTTCTTTATAGGAAAGGATATAGGAGCTCATATAAAGCATGAATTTAGAAATTCCAATCTCAAAAGTAAAAATTAGATAATTCCACAGGTGTGAATGTAACAGGATCTTGAACCGTGACCGTTACACATTGCTACCCAAGACAGATGGAGAAAGGCTGTTTACTGGATGGTTACTCTAAGAAGGGGTTATTAGAAATCATTCTGTCAGCTCTCCTTGCAATCAACAGACAAAACTGATGTAACCACCAATGTGTGCCTCCGGTTTTCTTTATCAGTACGTTAAGTTTTTGAGAAGACCTTTGATGGCATAGTCAAATAACATTCTTTATGTTTCTTTGATGTAACTAAGGTATTCTCCACATCACTTAGTGCACAGCCTCTTCCCCTTGTTAGCAACAGGAGACTGAAAACAACCACAAAAGACAGAAAGGAGAGCCTAGCAGCAGGTGTTGGAGGGTAGATGTAGGGTCCAGGAGCACAGTCGGGGAGTGGCGAGGAGGGTAGATGTAGGGTCCAGGAGCACAGTCGGGGAGTGGCGAGGAGGGT